TTAATGATTGAATTAGTATGTGTTGCTAAGTGTATTAAACTAAAGAGTATACCAATTATTATCCTATTATATAAAATTAAAATTTTATAATTTTAATAGATTATCAAATAGATAAATACATATAATATCATGAATAAATTTTTAAATAAAAAAACCAATCATAAAATAACAAATCATTATAAATTTATAATACTACATAACACTATAACCATATCATTTTCAAATTATCTTCTAATGTAACTTACACCTCAAGTGGACTTGTACTAATATTTTAAGATCATCATTGAGTTTCTTCTTTGCTTAACAAGAAGGGATCGAATAATTGGCTACCATAAATATATATATATATATATATATATATCGATAATAAGAAAAATATCTGTGGTGCCGTGCATTATGACAACAATCCAATTGGAAATACTGAAATTGCATTATTAGACTAATCAAGAGGGTAATCATTAATAACAATGAAAATGATCCCAACCATATATATTGGGAGTTCATACACATGGTCAGGATATACCGAGGATTCATATTCATGGTAAATATGCACTAATTAAGTTATTATCAGTCATATATGATCTAGTAGTAGATTGATTAAGTTAATTAATTAAGTTATTAATTAATTAAATATAAACATTGTTAATCTTTTATATTTAACATGACGTCTAAATAATTAATTTTTCATTGGATTTTTTGAATTTTCCCTGATTCAGTCTCCTACCACATATATACTAAATTAAAAAATCTTCTTAAATATTTATCCAATAAACAAAGGGAAAACGACATGACTAGTATTAATGTTTTGTTTTAATTTTGCTTGTGTTAAAACCCATCTATTCCACTAAATTATGACTGTAGTTAACATAGTCTGACGCCTTACTCTGTCTCTTCATATGATTCCATCTTATATATAGACAATGGCATCTGATACTGACCTCCAATTTTTGGAACATAAGCAGCCGCTGCCCACAAAAACCATTCACACCCCAAATCATCAAAGTTTCCCATAAATGCGTGTTCCACAGAAGTACTTAAATTTCTTCTAAGTTTTCAGTAAAATGCGGAAGATATGATTAGATTCTCACCATCAGGATACTCAGTATTGCAATCACACACAAAAAGTGATGTTATTATCACACTTTCAATTATTAATATCATATTATTTTATTTTAATTGATCATTATATATTTTAATTTATTAAAAATAAAAAAATAAAATATAAAAATATAATAAAAAATTACATTAAAAAAATATAACATTAATTATTTAAAATGTTGCAATAATCCCACTCCAAATACAGAATCAGCGAGATAGATATAAGGTGATATGAGGTACATCCCAACCAAATTTGAAGTACACAGTGACGATTAAAAAAAAAAAATTGAAGTACACAGTAGTTTGGTTGGCCACCCGGAGTAATTTAATGTTGTCATTCAAGCAATTTACATTTTGCATGTTCGTTGCCAAATATGACATGTTTAAGTACTAGAGCCTTCCAAATTGGATGTGTAAGTCAGAACATCTCTCAAGGCACAGTGAACGCAGCAGGTCTTATTCCATCACAATCAAGAACACAAGATGATCCAGAGGATGAGAATCTAATTTGGTCTATAAAAACCCCCCACACCCTTTTTCAATTCCTCATACCAACACAAGATTCCCTTGAATTTTACTACCAAAAATTTAAAATGGCTAAAATTCAATCTCAAAACTTTTGCCTAGCCTTTCTCCTTGTTTTGGCCATCTGGGTCTCTCTTGCCCTCTGTCGTCCTCTTGACGCAGAGTACAGGCTGAAGAAGATGCATGAGGACTGGATGGCTCAACACAACCGTGTCTACAAAGATGCGGTGGAGAAGGACGTCCGGCTTGTAATTTTTAAGGAAAATGTTGAACGTATTGATGCTTTTAATAATGGTGAGGAGAGGGGATATAAGCTAGGTGTGAATAAATTTGCGGACTTAACTAATGAAGAGTTCCGTTCCTTGCATACTGGACTCAAGTACCATCCTTCCAAACTGCTCCTCAAATCATCAAAATCATCTTCTTTCCGATATGGGAACCTCACAGCTGCCCCTGCCACCTTGGACTGGCGAAAATCCGGTGCCGTCGCTCCTGTCAAAGATCAAGGAAACTGTGGTAAGACATTTCTATAATTTGATTTTTTGTTTTATGTACGTGTATCTTGACTAACTTGTGCGTATCAATCTATCAGATTAAATCTACCTTTCCAACCTATTTCAGTAGTACCTACCTACACCAATTATGTGCATCAGAATAAATCAATCTCTTCTTAAGCTAACTAAAGGCGGCTGGTAATTTCTAAAAACTTGTGTACATGATTTTTTCCCCCTTTTTTGGGAAATTTATGCAGGGTGTTGTTGGGCGTTTTCTGCCGTAGCAGCAGTGGAAGGACTGACAAAGTTGAAGAAAGGTACGTTAATTTCCTTATCGGAGCAGGAGCTTGTGGACTGCGACATTTACGGTGAGGATGAGGGATGCGGCGGCGGACTAATGGACAATGCCTTCCAGTTCATCAAAAGCAACGGCGGCCTGACAACTGAAGCTAACTATCCTTACCAGGGAGGAGACGGTATCTGTAACAAGAAAAAGGCAGCAACTGCCGCTGCAAAGATAACCGGTTACGAAGACGTCCCAGCAAACAACGAAAATGCCCTGTTGCAGGCTGTGTCCCACCAGCCGGTTTCCGTTGGCATTGAAGGAACCGGATTCTCTTTCCAGTTCTACAAGAGCGGTGTATTTTCCGGAGAATGTGGAACAGACCTTGACCATGCCGTGACGGCAATAGGTTATGCTACCGGAAGTGATGGGTCAAAGTATTGGTTGGTGAAGAACTCGTGGGGTACAAGTTGGGGTGAGAGTGGGTATATGAGGCTGAAGAGGGGTGCTAGCAAAGAAGGCCTTTGTGGTATTGCTATGATGCCTTCTTATCCTGTTGCATGAATAAGAAAGGTTATTGGGTATTCAATATTAAAATTGTCGTATGCAAGCCTATGACAGGGTCCACAACAAATGTATCATATGGGATATAGCATGAATAAGTGTGCCAACCACTTAAATATTCTCTTTAAATAAAAATAACATATTTTAAGTTTGAGTGGTACAGAATGCATAGTAAAAAAGTTAGAAAAATGCAAAAAAATTACTTTTTATTATGTATCTTAAAATAAAAAAAATTGTAAAATTAATTTATGTCTTGTGTTCTTCCTACTTCCTAATTAGTTTATCCAATGAATTTGTACAAATTCAATAATTAATGAAGTCTTTATTATAGTTTGCTATATTATATTTGATATTTTACTTTATTTTTCATGATTCTTTGGCATATTTGATTACAAGCTATAAAATATGGGATAATCATTCATTTTTTAAAATCCATCTGTAATAGTTTTATGCTTCAAAGATGTATATTATTTTCTTGTATATATAACCGCAATTCAAATAAAACCCCACGTTAACCAAAACTCTATTTAGTTTGTTGTGGTTTTGGGTTTTTTTTTGGGAATATGGCAAGTTTGTATTCCTCCAAAATTCCCCTCAAAGGGGTATACACAAATTATACCCAGGCATACCCAGGAAAAACACTCTTCTTCTCACTGTAATAACTATTGTAATTTATAACGATGAACTACAATTTGAATCATTTCCTCCCTTTCTTTCCTAATACCAGAAAACAATCTGTTGTTTCTCTCACTCTATGTAAAATAAACAGTAACCGCAAAGAGAGTTTTAAGCTGCTTCACTACCTTACTTCTTCCTTTACATCTTCTTAATATTGGCTTCCAATCCCAACTCTTTTGCCCAGCACAACGGCTCAAGCTTGTATGCAATAAAACTTCATTCCAGATATGTCTTAACAACCTGCACTGGAAAAATAAATGGTGGACATCCTCCTCTCCATCCTCACAAAATAGGCAATTCCTATCAATTAACATGCCTCTATTACATAGCAAAGTTTTCGTTTTTAGCCTTTGCTTCCCCAACAGCCATAACATAAAGCTTTGACGTGGTAAAATACAATTTGCCCAAATATTAGAACACCATTTGCTCTCAACAATTCATAACAATCTGATATAGAAAAAAGACCAAGTTTACCATTTGCTCTTATCCAAATTGCACAATCTTGGCATCTTTGGAGTTGCACACGTTGAATACTTCCTGCAATCCTTGGATGTCTTCTCTTGAAGCTCATAGGAACATTCCACTCACATTGTGGTGCCCACTGTGCCGAGGAAGTCTGCTGTATCACCGGGATACAGCAGACGTGGTATCCCAACCCAATGGGAAAACACCACATCAACAATTTTTTCACACTTCATCAATCACAAACCTAAAAAAAAATTGATGTGGTGTTTTCTCATTGGGTTAGGATACCATGTCTGCTGTATCCCGGTGATACAGCAGACAAAATCCACTGTGCCACTGTCAAATTTGGACCCCATGTTGAAATCTCATTGGCTAGTCCCTCCAGCTCAACTAACCTTCCAATCTCCATCCAACAGTCATAGAATAAAGAAGTTTAGCGCGCATCACCCACCTTCATCACTAAATTTTGTTTTAAGAGAGGCCTCAACTGTAACATCTTCCTCCATGACCATGCACAATCCTGAGGAAAGTTTGCTGCCCATATACTGCCCCTTCTCAAATTTTCTTTTGCCCACTTAGCCCACAAGGAATCATGATCACTACAAATGGTCCACAAGTGTTTTTCCATTGCCGCCATATTCCAAATTTTAACTTGTTTAACCCCTAAACCTCCTTCAGACCTTGGAAGACATACCTCCTCCCATGAAACAAGGGCTAAAC